GCCCGCCCAAACGAACGAGCAATTTCTTAATCACCTCGAGTCGGCTCTGGCCGGCCGAGACAATCAGAAACTGGTTTAAACCTGTACAGAACAGAACAGATGTTCAGTGTACATATGCCAGTTTGAAAATGGCTGAAACTGGTTTGAGATAAACCTGGTTGAATGTAGTATCAGACTTAACTGATTTGACTCTGTTTAGGCTTAACTGATTGGCTTATGCAATGTCTGTCCCAGACCCCTTGCTGCTTTAAGATAAACCAGGCTCTCCCAGCATGCTCTCTGGGCTGGGCAGGGCTCTCTGCTCCACAGCAGGGATGATCCCTTCCCTTTGCTCCCTGGCTGGAGCTCTGGCAGAGACTGCAGGTACAGCAAGGTCTGCCTCGCTTCCCGCTGCTCTCCCTCCCTACCCTCCATCTCCCACAGCACGGACCCCAGCCTCACGGATCCTAGGATTATGGTATGCTATCTAATGCCAAGAGGTATGTGTGTGTGCTAGTCTCCAATGTCACTGGGACATTCCATTGGTCAGAACAGTGACCACTTAGGGCTTTTTGGAGCTAATCAACAGGTCAGCTTTTAAGATGTTTAAGAGAGTTTGAATTAATGGAGAGAAGCTATTGTTTAGCTGATAAGGTGATAAACACTGTTTCCTGCTGGCTTGCTCACCTGTCAGTTTGCTGCTGAAAGTATAAAGAAGCAGGGGGAGGGAGATTGAAAACAACAGATGCATGCATTGCACCCCCTTCCCCTGCTTTGCCTCAGAGTGCTAGCTGGGATCTGGCAACAGTCCCACCCCTTGAGCAGCCAGCACAGAAAAGCCTGAGATGGTGAAGGCAGACCTCCCTAATCAGAGGTTCTTCCAGGGCCTGGTCATATCCCACCTCAGCTCAGTACTGCGGAAGTGAAGAGTGGGCTGTTTTAGCATTCCCTGGTTTCTAGCCTAAGCCACTGCAAGCATGTGCCTGAATTGTCTCAGTCCAGAGAGAATATCTGTCCAGTTACAAACCAGTTCAGCCTAGCCAGGTTTGACTAAACTGCAAAGACTAAGGGGTGGTGGAGGTCCCAGCAACTGGTGGTTAAGGGGGAACTATGGGGAGATGGAGGGCCAAACAGGCCCAGGAGCAGGACCAGAGCTCATGAGCAGGACAAAGAAGAGGCTAAAGAGCCCAGGGCCCAGGGAGGGGCGAAGATGAACAGGGCTGGGGGGGTGGGGGGAGGGGCAGGGAAGGGGCTAGACTGTCCAGGGCTCAGGGAGGAG